CAGGAGCCAGCCCTGACCCTGCATAAACGAACGGATGGGCTAAAGTGTTACATAAAACCTCAAAGGACCCAAAAACTAAATTAAAACTAAATTCCCAACTCTGCCCCACTCGCCATGGTGTGAGCGGGAACAGCAGGGCTCTCGGGACAGACAGCCCAAGCAATGCAACAGCAAAATACATCCCAAGTCCTCTCAAAGACAGAAACTTCAGGCTATTTTCTTTTTTTTGTTTTTTTTTTAATTCCTCACTGAAGCCGTCACAAGCCCACAGCCTCCCCCGGCCCAGGGAGCAATGAGAAATCCCCAAGCAGGTCCTGGCAAGCTTCCAGCTACAGGTATTGCCTAGAGACCAACGGGAATTAAATATCTGGAGTTTCTTTAAAATACTACAGCTTCGCTTTCCAAATATTTTTCTCTAGCTAAAATGCATTCCCAAATCCACTTATTTCAAAATATACAGCATTGGGCGTTACTCCTGTATCAGAGCCAGCTTCTTCCTAGGAAATCCTGTGACCATCTCTGGTCCTCAGCAAACTACTTTCCCTCTATTTACAAGCTAATTTCATTGATTTATTTTGCTTTCGATACTTCATTTCTTCCTTTTGAACAGCTCTTCCTCTCCTGCACTTGAGACACATCAGCCAGCCAGATGCACTTGTAAGCACATGAAGAGTCCAGCTCTCTCCTAATACTAAGGGATGAGCATGTGTTGTGTGTTTATTATGGCTACGTACTTCCTAATTATGCCCAGCAATCAATATTAATTAAATATCACTCAGTATCAGCTCAAATATACATTTCTTATTGCTAAAATTAGTGTAAAAAACAGATGCGGCAGAAAAGAAAACCAGATGTTGAGCTGCTGGGTGAGAAGGACGTGAAACCCGCAGCTCCCTCATCAGGGATGCTCATGGATGCTCATGAGTGATCGCTCTGATGCCCCCAAATCACTAGAGGTGGCTTTGAATTTCTTTTTTAAACATAAGCACATCATTATTTGAGAACAATCACCTCCTTCCTGATTTATTCCTCCTAACCCACGTCCCACCCCACCGGAGGCTGTGTTGAGCTGAGGGTACCCACAGGAGCTGGGGCGGGCGAAAGGAGCCCCCGCACCCCTCGGGGACCCTCATCCCGCCTCTCCAGGAGCTGCTCAAGGGACATCACTTCACATTTTCAACTTGAAAGCATGAAAAAACAGCCTTCAATTAGAGATTGCTTCCTTTCAGGCTCATTAAATGCACCACTTGCACAAGAATGCATTTAAAATGTGCCAGCGTTACTGTATTTCCCCTTCAAATTAAAAAAAAAAAATAGAGAACAACAAAAAAAATCCCCTTTAATGCAGAATTACTGCATTATTTGACCTGACGTAGCAAAGCACCTTAGCGCACGCTTAACTTTAAGCGCATCAATACCTCCAGCTCCGCTCCCTTCAGTGCCAATTGAAATAAAAAGCACCAGTCCCAGAATCACTGAAACTGGTTTGGAAAATCACGAGGTTTGTTGTTGTTCAGGAGTTTGTTGGATTTGGGGGTTCAGCCCCACGTCCAAGCATCACCGAAGACTTGCAGGAGGCACAGCCTTGGGTATCAGGTTCTCCCCGGGGTCGGTGCGGGTGGCGGGGGGTGAAGGGGTGTCCACAGGGCCACGATGGAACTGGGCTCTGGGTTGACCTCTGGGAAAGCTGAGGGCGGATGAGCTGGTTCCTAGTATGAGGTTTTCGGGAGCCTGCAGCATCCCTGGAGCCTGCCGCAGGTTTATTTTCAAAGATGACTCTTACGTGGCCAAGCTCCATGGCTGTATTTCAGGTTTTACAGCCTCTTGCAACCACGGGAAGACAACTGCCGAGGTAACGGGGTACGGCAGCCCCGTCCCACTGACCTGCTTCGTGCAGCAGTAATGCCAGAGGTCCCGTGTCACCAGGAGCTTTTTTTCACGACTCCTGGTGCCTTTCTTGGACATCCCCCTCCAAGCACCTTTGCAAAGGAAGCAGATCCCTTGTGCTAACCCGACCTGCTGCCCGGCACCTCTTGAATTCAGTCTCTCTCTTTAAAAAGCAAATGGGTTAAGAGCAAGGAAAATCCTCCCATGTTAGGGCAGTGCTGGACACGCTCCGATACACCTCCTTTCAAAGGCTTTGAAAGACGCCTGTAAGTATGAACATGGCCAACGGCCAAACAGCAGGATGGAAAAAGCCAACCGAGGGAAGTGGCTGCAGCATGAGAGCGGCAAATTAATGAGGAAGCATCGGTTTTCAGCCGCTGCAGATGAAAGATTAATCTCCCCAGTTTCACTATTGACTTCCTCATTAAATCCAGCTCACCTCCAGCACGACTCGCAAATAGGGCTGCTGTGCTCCCTCCTCTGCCCGGAGGCTGGGAGAGCGTGGCCAGAGCCAGACAAGCACTGTCCATGCAGTCCAACACAGGGAAACGCAACACCACCACCCCAACCCAACACCACCACACCAACCCAGCAACACCAGACAAACACTAGCCAAATCAACTACACCAGCCCAACTACAC